CCCCAAAACCCCAAAACCCCAAAACCCCAAAACCCCAAAACCCCGTGTATAAACTTTGTGATTATTTAAATTCATAAGAAATTTGTAAAAATTTCGTAAATAAAAATGTTTGATATAGACTTCATAAACTAGAGTCTTGAATACCATGAACTAAGTAATACTTAAGAGAGCATTGATTCTTCTGATTAAATATAAGAAGCTATAATGTCCAAGATGAATCCTAAAATAAACAGCGTGAAAGCTCTTAGGTAATAGCAATAAATAATGAGCTAAGAAATAAAACTTGAACTTCTAGACTCTAATTACAAATCATCTTGAAAATAATAAAATTAAGATTTGGTTATGGCATTTGATGGAAGAGCTAAATTGTTAGACAGAAGAAATATGGTAAGAAAAACTGGTTCTGGAAGTGTTTCATCTGCCCTTAGATCATCTCACATAAGTAACAACAATAAATCTCTTAAGGAAAGCCTTGATGTAACTCCATCTAATTATGGCAACCTTAAGGACAATATGAATTTTGATTCTCACAATAATCATATTTCAGTAACTGGAGATTTCATTGAAGAAGTAAAACTAAAAATTCCCTCAAAATAATCAACATAAAATGATTAGCTTCATCTAAGTTAACCCTCAGAGTATTCTCCATCATCTCCATCAAAATTTATTGACATGAGAACTTACTAATAGCTTATAAAGTCTTCTACAAAGAATTCTCCTGTAAATCTGAAAAGAAAAAGTAAAGGTCATTCTTTTTAGGAAACTGACTAATTCAATAAAACATATACCTACCTTCTTAAGTTGGTAAATGATAAGAAATCTGAGAGTAAAAAAAAATTGAGAATATTACCAAAAAAGAGCCAACCTAAATTTTAGGCATTAACACAGGAAGAAATAAAATTAAATAAAAAGATTAATAAGCTTTAAGTTTAAAATGACATGCTTCGTTAAAAGCTTAAACAAATTAGCAAAGATATTGATGTTTTATTATAGGATAATGTGTTTCTCAAAGCTACAATAAGTCAGAAATAAAAAGAAAGAGAATCTAAATAGATAAAGAAAAACTATTAAACTTAGCTAGATACCTAAACTAAGGTAGGAGAGAAAATGCTTGATCAGCTTTTACATGAAAGAGCAAGAATCTAAATCAGACTTGAATAACTTAGTAATCCTAATTATCTTAGTGACTTAATCAAGAAAAATGAGGAAGCAGAAGTTAAAATTAATGAAGAAAAAATGCTTAAAAAGAAGTTAAACAATTTACAGAAAACTAATGGAGAAGATCTGATTAAATTTCAATAGCATACTTAGGAGTAACATTTAAAGTTTGATAGACATATTAAATAGATGGGAGAGGAATTATAAAGAACTATTTTAAGAATCAATGAAAAAGAAAAAGAACTATAGGCAATTGAGGAAAAAGAGATGGGTTTTATAATAAAACAAACTCAAGTTAAACAGAGATATGAGGATTTAAAGAAAATAGGCGATTTGAATAACTCTCCTATTCATCAAAAAAGGGAAAGCTAAATATATTTGGCTGATTAAACTGGAGGTGAAGGGGATCATTATTAAGAAATGCAAGCATTATACAAAAAATTGCTTGTTGAAAAATGGGCAATTCAAAGTAAAACATAAGCATAGTAAAATGAAATCAAGTTAAATGATAAAGCGATAAGAACATTAGAAGACTAAATCAAAGAAAAATCTTAAAATTTAAAAATCACCATACTCGCAATAAAAGAAATGCAATAACAAATGTATATTCTCCATGACACAGCTTAAAGTGTAGATATTTATGCGAAAAAATATGGCTTCTTAACTTCTTAAAGTTTTGAAAAATCTACCCCAAAAAATAATGCTCCTCGATCATATGATGGAAGATCTTCATCAGTTGGTATACTGAGCAGTATTTAAGAGAAATAAGAACTTTATCGTGTAGGAATAATGAGTAAGTAGCCGTCAGGTTAGAATTTAACGATCAATAATAGTAAATATAAACTCCTCCCTCCACTATTAAGCAAAGGAAAGAAAAGCAGTCATAGTATGAGCAAAATAAGACTAAGCAGTAAGTTTATTAAAAGTGAGATGAAAAATAAGAGATATCTAAACTAAATTGATTCATCTGATAGGAACAATACTCCTAAGTAGATACAGTAGAGCAATCATGGAGATATTAGGGAACAGTAACTATATTCGAGTCGTTCAAAAGCAGAAGACTTTTTGTTCAAAAGTGAGACCAATTCCCAAATGGGGGATTAAAAGTAACCTAACTTAGGAAATAGATCATTTTAATTGTCTGAAATTATACCTGATAAATAAGACTAATCAGTAATGGAGGGGAACAGCATCCTCGGTGAGGAGTATTGAATATAAATTTTCGGTTTATTATAATCCTTTTAATTTCTTTTAAATAAAGCAATAAAGCTTTTCGGGGTTTTGGGGTTTTGGGGTTTTGGGG